CAATCGTGTCCAACACTTTATTTTGATTTTCACCCTAAATGTAATTAGTTTTAAATTACTTTTTATTCATGCAACTCCTGCCGCTCTTATTCATCTGGTTCCGATTTAACTAAAGGACTTTGCAAAATAGGCGAAGCATCTGATTTCCTTCGCCTAATTTAAGCCTGAACAGACCGTAATTGTTGTTTCAACTGGTCCGGAGATGTATCCACGCGAGTGCGAAAGACGCTTGCATTAGACGAGAGATCGTAGACTGTGTTTCTGGGTGAAAAAAGCAGACGAACCCATTCCACCCTGAAAGCGCACTTGTGGCTCTTCTCAATGTGCCTCCTAACTGGAACCCGAAGGAGGAGTTCGTTGAATTTGTAACAGTTAATTTAAACAAATACATTTCTATCCAATGTCATCTGAACTGATGCATTCATGATGAACATGCATCTGTCCAGCTGTGATTGGCAAAATCAACGTGAGAAGAAATATTAAAATTTATTTAAGAGCTAAGACTTAATTTTTTTGCATTAAGATGAGTGGGCCACATTTAATGTCATTGTATTTTACAAATCCTCGTCCTACGAAAGGATTACTTTTTCGGTCTGTACTGCGATTTTCACTTCTATAGGGATTTTTTGGTCACTTTGACAAAATTTAACATCGGATCTTGTACGTCAAGTGGAAAATATGCCACTTCACCAAGCATTTCTGGCTGCCAATTAATTGCAGGGCAGATGTAGCTTTCAAGGCAAGCTCCGTCCATTCTGAATCCCATTTTTATGTAGAATATTGTCGATAAAACGAATTTGCATTTGCCGCCAGAGAGTTAAGTAGTACCTGCCTTTAAATCAGTAGTGCGTTAAATTACCTGAAGATTGAGGAATTGAAGACAAATGATTCCATTTTCTTCAAGGAATTGCTTCGACTCCATGATGCTTATTATATCCTTACACCTCACATCCTCTCAAATCTACCAGAGTTACTTGAGCTCCTATGCGAGATATATGGATAATTTCGATAACCTCTTAGCGTATGAACCTTCCGACGAGCCCAAGCCAACAATGGTTTTATATCTATTTCTTCTACTTTAGTTTTACTGTCTTATTCAAAAGATAATCAAAGTCCTCTGAGTAGGCGAAAAGCTTCGAGTAATGTGTATTGCGTGAGTATTGCGGTTTAGTGTTGTTTGAAAAGTTTGTGGTTTTCAAATGATGAATCTAAGAAAAGACTTTACATTGTCTACGCAATTTATTCGCCAGTAGGCACTTAGTGGTCCTTCGTGGATGTTTACACAAACAACAATGTGTCTGGCCGCCATGAAACCAACGGAGAGTATCCTCATTCCAACCACATGAGCTGTGGGGCCATAACAGCGCATCGGTTTATGTGAGCTCCAATAGATGCTCCAAGATTGTGGATATTATTCTCGCATGAATAAGGAAGTGTGTTTCAGTGAATTTGAAATGGTTGCCCGAAACTGAAAGAGGTTTGTTGGCTGTTGAGACTGGATTCATATTAAGTCCTCAGTTCACCTTACTGCTACTTTCATTTATTCGTACTGAGCTTTTGTCTGTTCTGCTGTCATAGACATCGGCATACCTAGCAACCAACATCTTAAGAAGGCATCCAATGACTTGATTGGCCACTTTATGCTTTTCTCACATTCTGCGGAAGAGTTGACCTGAGGCGTAAAAAGGATGTTAATGTAGTCATAGCTGTTTCTTTAAATATCTAAATTTGCGTTTAATCCTGCAATGTCGAAATGTGTTTATGTTTGTGGTTGCACAATATTTGCGCGTAGGCATTGCTCTTGAGTCGAATATGGTACTAGGAAACAACCAAGCCACTGTCCCTTTTCGGTGGTTGGCTCTACCTATTATTATAACTAGTATTATTAATATTAACATTGGTGGGTGTTGTAACAGTAATAGCAGCAGTATTAGTATTGTCATTAGACCTAATAGTGGTAGTAGAAGTAGTTGAAGTATTAGTAATAGCATAACAATATGGAGATGATGATGATTATGAATATTATTATTATTATTATTATTATTATTATTATTATTATTATTATTATTATTATTATTATTATTATTATTACACCATCATTATTATTATAAAGAAAAGAAGGAGAAGAAGGCGAAGCACTTTTCAGCATCGGATTTGGTTTAATTTCATAGGCCAGTGAACCTTGCCAATCATACCACAAAAATTCCCCTCGCCGAGATTACAAGTTGTGTGCCCATATTCATATTGAGTAGATTTTTGAAAGTGGTAATGCACATTCGCCGGCCAACCTTTTGCTGATTGGTTCTGCTGACCCACCCTATCACATGCCCTATTGTCTCCATTTCTTCTCACAAATTCTAATTTGTCCATACTCATCTGCGTCAGAATTGCATCATTTTGGTCGGATTTGCCAAGGTTTAATCACATTCCCTCTCGGTTTCACCTTCGCTGCCCTTATCCCCTATTCTGCAATCGCTGATCAAACTTGATTTGTCCTTTCCGTCTGCAGACCACTTCATCCAAATCCTAGCCAACTATTTGACGGCCTGTTACTCGGTGACAGAGAGCGAGTTGGGCACGAGGATATGGGATAGATGATAACCGTTCAACAACGAAGCGTCCTATATGAATAAATGCTGGATTTCGAAAACGCCTTTAACAACTTGATGATGGGGGCGAGTAAGAGCTGTGTGAATTGGTCTTAACATAAGTTGTGACTATAGATTCAAGCAAATATATTCCCGTCGAACCGTCCCGCGATCTGACGAAAGTGTGTTGATCAAGTTGACAAGTTGAGAGCAAGGAACCATGCTTTACAAAAATTCCCCCATCACTAACACAAGAAAGGTATCCTTAATGGGAAATCTCCTCCATTGTTATCATCTTCATATAGGTTTTTGAGACTATCACTATATCATGTATATGAGGTGTATACACCCTATTTCTTTAAGATGATGAAGGACTGGTGGTTCAAATTTCCTACAATCAGATGAGTAGACCTCACGCTTCTATTTCATTTTGCATATACTTGCATTTCCAAAAGGTATTCCCATCTTTTCAACCTCACCTGGAGTGGTCTCATCAGTACCCCCAGCGGGACTTGAACCACGACAGCGCAGTGTGCAATCTCCACACGTTAACCACTACGCCACATTACCATGAGTGCTCTTGAGTGATAGGGCATATGTGAATTCCCATATTCTTTGTTAATAAACAGAGCTTCGAGTCTACCAGTAAATCAGTAATATGACATGTATTCACCCAATTTCTTTTAAAGTGATGAAGGATCATATTTAAATTTTCCCACAATGCTATGAGTAGAGCTGACGTTCCTATTGAATTCCACAGAGCCCTGAATGAGAACAACTTTTGGGAAAGCAAGGCTATGTGCATTTCAATGGAAACGTCAGCTATACTCATATCATTGTGGGGAAAGTTTGCTACAAATCCTTCTTCACCTTAAAAGAAATAGGGTGAACACATCTCATTTTCCCATATCCCATTCTGTGCTGGGATTGTATTTTCTATAACCATCGACTACATTTGTCATTTTTCGTTTATAACTAGATTTTTGAGACTGCCA